TGCTACTAATTTTTATGGGACTGTAAGATGAGTGAAGAATGACACTGTTGCTACCATAAATGCAAGTCACTCTTGTTGTTGGTTGGGTGGACCTGGGGGTGAAGAAAAGAGACAAAGAGGGAGAGAGGCAGATTTTTGTCTTTGGATTTATAAGGCTCCTTAGTATTCCACTCTTAAGAAAAAAGAAAGTGTATATGCCCTGGTGGTAGTGGTGGGGGTTATTACACTTTGGTAATCATGAGATATTCTTCAACAGAAGTGAAGAGAAGGAAAAAGAAGGGTGGGGAAAAGAAGCAGAGAGATTAAGAATGAATAGCTGGGTTGATATATTGACAGCCTTTATATCACTAAACTACTGATATATTAATTAAATCATGTATTCATATTTAAAGTGGTTGGGGAAGACTGGAGGGTTCCCTTATGAGCCTCTGTAGCATATACCACTAGAAAATTTATTAATGTCACTCACTTCTTTACATGCTTCTTCTGGAAGACTTTCAAGAATAGACCTCCGCTCTTTCCCCAGGTAGGCTATCACTGTGCCATTGCTTTTATTGTTTGGCTGCTCCTCACAGCAGTAAATTAAAACACCTAAATCCAAACATAGACAATTTGTTCTCTCACTTTTCTTCCAGTGGGTTCGGATAGATAGTTTTTCTAAAGGAATACGTATTTAACAAATCTTGACATTTGGGTTTAGCGCATGAATTAGCCATTCTGGCCACAGCTTTGATCTACATAGATGCTAGCTCAGCATGAGAGGCCGTGTGGAACGTGATTCACCACGGCAGTTCTGCGCAGAGCCAGTGACCTGGAAAACTCATTCTTGACCTGTCTGGCTGTGGGTATCCTCTTGTCTCCTAGTGGTTACAATCACAGTGATAAGTGTTTAATCATTTTTCAAATATATATTAAAATACCCAAATCCTCATTGTCTTAAGATTGGCTCTAAATATTAGCATGTAGGTTTCCAAAAGGTAAAAAATGATTTTGCAATTTAATTATTTATTCAAGCCTTTTAAGCACCAAAAATGATACTTTTTTTTTTTTTGCAAAAATGTTGAAAGAATGTAAACAGCTGTCATAGACTGGAAAAACTTTTCTAGATCTGATGTGTAAAATGTAGGGACTTCAATGCATGTTTGTTAAGAGGCAGTGAGCCAAGGGGTTAGAGCATGGCATTTTGAGTCAGACACATGTGGTTCAGATGCTGGGTCAGCTGCTAAGCCTTATTTTCCTCATCAGTAAGATGCGGTTCCAGTAGTAAAAGCATTCTGAGGATTAAATGAGAATGTATGTGAGGCATTTAACAGAGTGCCTTCCCCTACCCAGACACAACAGCTAGCATCAGTATCATTATAAGTATACTATATACAATCTAAGGTCTTCTGCCTTCCAGATTGAAGCACTCAACAGTCTCTCTAAAAACTCAACTTCTCAATGAATTTCTGCAGCAGGAAAGAATTTTTAAAAATAAAACCACAGTATTTGATTTGCATGGAGACCATGCATCTGCGAGAACAGCCTTTTAGCTAAGGCTCTGTTAGATCATAGAGTTACAGCCTATCTACTGTTCACACCTGTTCCTCATGTCTGACCAAAGATTCAACATCAATAAAACCTTGTGCTCTTCTTAAGGTACCACTGCTGAGTGCTATAAATAGTAGACCTTTTAATATCTTTTATTTTATTGATTCAGATCAATAAACAGTTATTAGATTTTTTTCCTTAGAAAAAAAGCCTTACTTTATTTTGGAGGGGGGGCTACAAGGCAATGGGAACAGAGCCCTGGTCATTTTATGCCACGCACAGATCCCTGATTTGAATAAGCCAGAGTGACGATAGATATGCAAAAGATAAAGCCTCACTTATGGTTACACTAGGTCCTTCCATTGCTGAATAAAAAAGAAATACACACAAGTGGGAAAACAACTGTCATCTTGTAGGCAGTAAATTGCACAGCTCTCTCATCATGCTGAGGCAACTTAGCTTTATTATATACTGATACTCAGTCAAATTCATTATTAATAAGGGTAACCCTTAGGTGCTAAATTTCTAAGTTCTTTAGAAAAATAGGTAAATGAGCCTAAAAGATATTCAAAATATAAAATATGGCCATGGCAATTTTAACCATAACTCTCTTCCTATGGCCTAAGCTTACATACTGTAATAAATGTGGCACATGTCATTCTGGTATTGATTGGAATAATTTTGGCTCACTTATAGACCCTAAAGCAGTTATTCTAACTTAGACTCGAAATCTGCACCATCAAGACATCCTCTTATTGAACTCACATACTGTCTTTAGTGACATTCCAAGACAATAGTATAATTTTTCCTTCAAGAGAATAAAGCTTTATTGATCTTATTCTAAGGGACTAAAGAAATTGAGTGATAGCACAGGGAGGCTATTCCTGTCACCAGTGCTTGTCTCTGTCTGCACAGGAATCAAACCATGAGATAATGAGGTTTGAAACGCCATTGGGAAATCTTGGCTGTCTGAAAACGTCTGCAGGTAAGAGGTCAATGGATTCACCCATGGCATACAAGTTTCCCAAGTGAAGTACTTACCAACCTTTTTTTTTTATGTCAAAGCACATGATAATATCTCCTGGGGTAAATCAGAAATTCTGGGAGTAACTATATAAGGCATGGTGATGAAAATAATTACATTTCTTTATAAAGCAAAATGTTAGAAAAAATATTAGATCTTTAATTGGAAGAATACATCCATGTAAAATCTTGAAATTTCAAATGAGAATATTGAGCTTGCTTCAGGGAACATAACTATCATTTTTATTAGACTTTTATACTTAAAATGACAACAAACAATTTCTGATTAAGACTTTAAATGATACCTTCAAGTTTTTGATAGTCATCATCAACAAGAAACTTTATTCCCTCAAACAGGTAATAAAAAATATAAAACCATCGTTACAGCAATTCAAAAATTTATAAAAGTTGAAATTAGATTTAAAGAATACAACCAGTATTTCTTTTCTTTTGTTAACAAATACACTGTTAAAGTTTCTGTGTTAGTGAACAATGATCTCAAGTCTAAGTATGTTAAAAATCATGATGGAGGTCTGATTTGCAGAATGTGCATACATTGTTAAAGTAGCCACCCTATGTTAGTTCTGGACATCACTAGAATGTCACAAACAGCCAGAGGTATCTGGATTGTATGAAGGCTTCATCTATCAGCCACTGCACAGATCTGTACTCATGAGGAGTTCCCCCAGTTAGCTGTAGGTTGGGTTGTTATTCTGTGTGGCTTTTGTCTCTTTTGTCCAGTATTCCTTGGCTCCACACAAGAGCATCAGGGCATTAACAGTCTGTGCTGGTTGCAGACAGCAACTTGAGACCATGGGGAATACTGTCATACCTGCCCATCCTGTAGGGCTGCTCTTGGAGGGGCCCCAGAAGAGCAATCTAATGACCAGAGACAATTGGCTTTGGAACCTCAACCAGCCCCACACTGACGCCAAAGGCTGCCCAAGTCCAGAGGGGATCCATGTCTCATGGTACTCCTATAACTCTGTTCTATGAAGGTTTGCCCTGGGGTCTGGAATAACTGGATATCTATATAGAGTAAACATAGGATGACAATGAAGTGTCCTTCCTTCCCTAAGAACTGGGTGGATGACTGTAGGAGAGTGCATAACATATTTATCTTTTTAATTATTGTATTTTCAGTTCCTAATTCATAGAAAGAATTCAATAAATATGTTTTTGAAAAAACGAGTTAACAAAAAAGTGAGTTTTCCCCCCTGACAGTTAGAACTAGTCAAGGTGATGCACTTAGGAGGATAATGAACCTCTAGGGCCATGAAAAATGCTACTGGAATAGTAGCTTAATTTATTTATTAAATAAATAATTATTGAATTCTTACTATGTGCTCTTCTGAGCACTAAGGTTCTAGTAGTAAACATAACAGTCATAAATCCCTCCTGAGAAATAGAGGACACAGAAATATATAATATAGATAAATTCAACATATATGTGTTGGATGATTGTGAGAGAAATGAAAAAGGCATTGAAGAAGAATAGGGAAAGCTAGATAATTTAATTTTGAGAAAGGAATTATGGGAAAATGACATTTGAACAAAGACCTAGAGAAAGTGAGAGAACAAGCTATACAGATAGTGTGGGGGAAGTGTATGCCTGGAAGAGGGAACACCAAGTGCAAAGGCCCTGAGGCTGGAGCATGCTGTTATGTTCAAGAGATAATAAGGGGGCCAGTCTGAATGGAATGGAGTGAGTGAAGAGGAGGGTAACAGGAGATAATGGTGGCCCAGAGCACAGAGAACCCCGTAGACTGAAAGGACTTTCCTTTTAATCTGAGTGAGGAGATGCCATGGCAGAGGCAGAGGCAGAGGCAGAGGTGAGGAGAGCAAAGGAACGATCTGACCTGGGCTTTAAGAGGACCCCTCCGGCCGCGCTGTTGAGAATAAACCAAAAGAGCAAAAAGACAGAAGCAGGCATACCAGTTAGAACTCTTCTGCGGTAATTCAGAGGACAGTATAACTCGGAAAAATTTGGGCCTCAACAAGGGTCCCTCTGCTCTGTGCTGTTTGAGCCAACAGAATGAATTTTTTTTCAAATACTCCGTGACTGTTAATTCTGAATGAAAGGAATGTATAGAAAATGTATGGGGAAATATCCGACTCCTATCAAAATGTTGCAAATAATGCAACTCCTAAAGAAGGTAAAATAGAAGGACAAAAGCTCTTTAAATACGTGATTACTTATTTGGCTTTTAAAAATAATTTTTTAAAGCTGAAGGATACATTATCTGCAAGATGGAGTTTAAAAACTCACACTCTCTGAAGGTGTCAAGCCAAGTTAACTTTCTCCTCAGGTTCCAGGTATGTAGCTCTAGGAGCCTCACAGCAATCCAACTTTATGCACCGTCTTGATCGGGAATGAATGTCAGAGAATTGGTTTTAAAGCGATTTTCAAAATGAAAGTAAACCATTTCATTCCCTGATTTACTTACCCACTCTTTCTGACAGCTTCTGTACTGCACTAGTCCAGAAGCGCTGAGTTCAGAGCAGAGGAAAGTTCTAGTCTGTGACCGGAGAATGGAGAGCCGCGAGCTGCCGCACCTGAGCGCAATCTCTCCTGGAAGCGCCAGGGGCGGGGCTGCTCTATGTGGCTCTCGGGAGGAGGCGGAGTTCTCGCTGGTCCCGGGCAGCGCACTCTCGAGAACTCTGCCTCTTATCACAGTGCCCCGGGGCTCGCGAGAACTCCGCCTCTTCTTGTAGCTCCAGGTGGGCGCTGAGTCTCCGCGCACGAGCGGCTGCCACCATCTTGTGCTGAGGTTTAATGGGTAGCGTTTGTGCTCTCAGCCTGCTGAGCTGAAGAGCCCCGGGAAGCCTGAAGCCATTTCTCACTAGGAACTCCGGTCTGAGGTGCTTGTGCCAGGCTTCTGCATGCGGCACCCTGCGAGCAAGTGAAACTAGACTGAGCACAAAGGAAAAAAAGGTTAGACTTTATTTATTACTTAGGTTACATTTTCATTCCCCGGGAATTGTTAGTAGAGTTTGCGGGTGACAAACAAACATGCAGTGCATGCAGAGAGAAGTCAGATTCAGGATTTATGTCAAAGGCAGAGCCAGGAAGGTATGTCGGGGGAGACACCGTGTGGTATGAAAAAAGGAGAGGAGTTAAGGACCGCATCTAGGTTCCTGTCCTGAGCGGCTGAAGAATTACGCTGCCTTGAAGACCACCTTGGATTTCGTCAATGTAAACCTGCCTAACGTAATTATCAAAGTGGAACTCAGAGCAACAACTTCGACTATGTGCCTCCCGTTAAGGTCTTCTTTTAAATAAGTATCTTATAGAGAATGACATACACAAAAGCATAGAAAGTAACGTAATGAACCAACATCCATAGTAACCAACATTTTGCCGGTTTTGAATCTTTTCTCCCCGATCTACTCATTTTTAATTTTTCAGGAGTATTTTAAAGCTTGCTAGGCTAGCCATTGTGTTATTGTTGAGAGAGGGCATTGAAAAGATGCGACCACTTGTTGCTGGCGAGCTGGAGGCTCAATTGGAGGCTCCTGTGCCTGCTCTTCGCCTGGAATGTATGCGCTGCCCACCGTGCTTACACCAGGCGGACCAAATACCTGACTAAACCCAGTTAAGGCCTCAATCTAAACTGTTAAGATTCTGCTGGTGGGTACGGAGACCTACTCATCTTGAGGTAGCCCAAGACAATCCTCGTATGTAAGTTCCCTTGCGTGTTAAAACCGCCACCCTCCAATCTGGAGTCGCGTGCCTCTCTTTTTTTTTTTTTTTTTTGGTCTCTTCTTGCCCTTGGTGTCCAAGGCTTCACCTGGGAAACTCCCCAAGTTGTGACCCAACTGTTATTTCCCCTCCCCGAATCATTCAGTGTACTTCACTGCCAATGAATTTTGGGGTGGGGGGAGGGGAGGGGTGGGAGAGGTAATTAGGTTTACTTATTTATTTTTAATGGAGGTACTGGGGGTTGAATCCAGGACCTCATGCATGCTAGGCATGCACTCTACAACTGAGTTATACCTACCCTCCATGGACAATGAATTTTTAATATACCCATCATGATATTCCTGAAAAAGTCAGCAACCGTTTCTTAGTACTAACACAAGCCATTTTCAGGTTTCCCTAATTGTCTCAAAATTATCTAACAATTGGTTTAACTCAGGATACAAACAGGAGCCTCACTTCACATTTGATAGTTAAGCCTTTTAATTCTCTTTTATTCACTAATACTCCTTTTCCTTCTTTTCTGTTTATGATTTTTTTTTTTTTGCAGAAACTGGGTCATTTATCCTGTAGAATGCCCCACATTATGAATCTGGCTGATGATCTTTACCGAAGAGGGCTTTTAAAAAATCACTCTCTACCTTCCTATTTTTTATAAGTGATTTTTTTTTCTTAAGACTTGATTTAACTTCAGTATTTTTATTCAAAATATACCTAGGTGGTGCTGATTATTTCCTAATTCACCAGGTGGTGCTGATTATTTCCTGTCACATCATTAGGTTTTTGAATCCTCTGATGAATATTGCTTAGATCCATTATTAATAAAATTGAAATTCAAAAATGGTGATTTTCTCATTTTATCACTTCTCCTGTACTTTTATCAGGCATTCTGTGGAAAAGAACTTACCCTTATCAAATATTTGGTAACCCTGAAATAAAATTTTAGAGGAAAAGCAGGATAAATATTTGATATTTTTCCTTTATTTGTTAATTTGCAGAATATTGATTTGGTCCATTGCGGCAAACAATGACTTTCACTTCTTAAAAATCATCATGAATCCATAGGTTTTTATATATTTGATGTGTTACAATCCATTGTAGTTAATTTTTACTTTCTTTTTTTTTTTGGTCATTTATTTACTCTATCCTAGGCCAGTGAAAGCTCTGTTAGTTTGGCTCTTCTGACTCTTCGGCATGAGTTATTTAGTCTTTGATAGCTTTCTTGCTTTCTGGCACAAGACAGTCAAGGTTGATCTTATTCATTTCCTGCGCCAGACATGAAATCAGCCATTTCTCTTAGGACCTCTAGTCTCTGTTAATATAAAGTGATATTTAGAGACCACAAGCTGTATGTTAAGGGTCCTCATTCTGTGGATTTTCATTGTCTCTTGGGCGAGCATTATAAGGAAAAAAGGACACTGATCTTGGGATTTATGCAGTCCGACAGGCCTTACTACAGGCTTGGTATTTGTTGATATTTCATTCAGGACAGACCTAAGTGTTTCTCAGTGAGCAGCATCCTAAACCCTGGTCACTAAGCCCCAGTCATACCCCATAAACACTACCAGTCACAGTTAAGTTTAAATAATTTCAGGAGGAAGTACTGCCTTTGGTTGAGAACCATTGAAGATTATGCCATCTCTTGGCTTCATTTCCATGCTCTCCAAAAAAAAGAAAAAAAAAAAACCCTCCTCCCCAAAAAACAAAAACCTCCTAAAAACAAGAATGAGTACTCTTTTGGCATTATAGTTGTGTTAATATTGGGGAAGAGATGCCCTGAGCAGAGAACTTAGCCATCTGGCAATTAGATGAATGGAGTTATTCATTACAAAATTGGTATTAGATTTCGTATACTAGGCTTGTGTGAATTTGTCTGATGTTGAAGCTCATTGAAAGACTGATTATTTTGGGATATGCTGATAGATTTTATTTCATTTTCTAGATATTCAAGGCTGAGAACTAGAACCTGGATTTGGGTGAATTTGACAAGGTAATTTCACTTTTGAAGATTATATTTTCCCTAATGACTCCACATTTAACTTGCTTTGTACATATTTTTATTCACATCATACCTAATGAAGAGGTACCAGTGATACATAAACATTCCAGAAAAGATAAAAAGAATATCGTGTTTGGAATTTCCCATTTGTCTATTTGTAGTGAAGATCTAATTCTACAGTAGTTGTGCATTGGATCAATGACAGATTTCTTTCAGGTTTCCATTAGTATTCATGTGGCTTCTGGCCAAAAATTTAACTGAGCCTAACTAAATAGAAAGGGGAATTTATTGGGTCACATAACTGACAGTCTAGGATTAAGATGAGCTCCCAACATGGTTTAATTCAGATGGTTAAATATAGTCATTAGGATCAGAATCTCTGAGTCTGTTGTCTCTGCTTTCCTCAGTAAGTTGCTGGCATTTTTAGGTCGATTCCATTTGATATTGCAAGAAGGATGCAGTTGGGTGGAATCTTACTTCTTACAAATCCCAGCTGCAGATGAGGAAAAAAAATACATTTTCTGGAAGCCTGAGCAAACAATGCCTGTGTATCTCATTGGCCCTGATTGAGTTGCCTACCCGTTCTTAAACTAAATACTTTGGCTAAGGGGACTGGTTTCTGTGATTTATTTAAATCTATCAGAGCTTATTCATGGAGAAAATCACTAATGGGCTGAGGGAAAAGGAATCAGTAAGGGATGGTTTTGGTGGATGGTTACCCTTTCTAGGGGAGGATGGATGCTGGAAGCAAACAGTAGTTAATCACTTAACTTCTTGAATTTGATTTTTAAAAGCCTTCAGAGTAAAAACTAAAAAACAGCAAAATCAAAGCAAAAACAGTGGAGCCTTGTGTTTGAAAAAGTCAATTTAGTTCAGTTACAAAATTGAGAATATCTATTGTTTATAGGGTTAAAAATTTTAACACGGTATCATTAATATCATTATTTAAAATGGAAAAACAACTACCTTTTAACATTACAAACAGTGAATATTAGAAATCTGTAAATCTGCAGTGTGTTTATATTAATGTTCACCCTTAACAATGCCATAAACTAGGTTGTAGTCATGCGTTAACCCATGGAATGTTATATGTAGTCATTTTAAAGCAAACCTTTAAAGAGTTTTCGTTAAAACCTCTGAGTATTTTTCTTCTTTGTTTTGCTTACTTACCACACAAGAATAACTGCAAAATAAATGAGCTAATCTGATGATGGTAAGTAAACAAATACGAAAAGAAACAATGGCCTTTTATTCTTAGAGTAAATCAGAATTAGTGAGAATGAGAAAATAATGCCATATAAGACATTTGCTTACAAAGGAGATGGGACATAACACTTTGATCTTTAACAGGTAAACTAGAATTATTCTTTCTTGATGAGCTTAAAACTTAAAAGAAAAAAACTGAGTAGAATTTAATCTGAGTGAATTTAACCTGAGTAGAGCAGAATATAGCTAGAGTGATAGATTATTCCTGAGACATATTCTCACAACCATAAAGACCATTTTATTTTTCAAAAAGGAAAGTGACACTGAAAATTCATCTATGTTGACAATAAAATAAGTCAGGGTCTCAGTGGGCATTAACTATGCTATCAACACCTTACAAGTAATTTCCAAGAGTAAGTTAAAATTGTTAAATGTATTGTCTTCAATGAGGGAAAAACCAGATGGAAATGTTGTAATAGAAATTTGTCAAACCAATTATTCAAATGAATGAAATAGTCCCCCCATGATAATGTTGTATCTTTTGCAGTAATTGTCACATAATAATCTTGGCATTCTATATCTCCACATACTCCTCTCATTCTGGATTGTAGATAAAATTTCTGATCAGTCATGATGACTTGTTATCAATCTCACATTTTGGGGGCT